AAAAAAAAAAAAAAAAGATTTCTTTTTTTTCCTTTTTACACTGGGAGTTGAACCAGGGTACTTTATCACTGAGCTACATCCGCAGCCCTTTTTATTTTGAGACAGGGTCTCACTAAGTTGCTAAAACTGGCCTTGGCCTTGCAGTTCTCCTGTCTCAGCCTCCCGAGTCTCTGGGGTTATGCAGCCCTGTACCTGGCTAACCCAAGAGCATTTTTAAGAGTGTTAAGATTCTCCCTTAAGGAGCAGGAACCACGTGCAGACTCCTAATAATTTGCGTTGCAGTGAAAGTTCTCAGGGATAAAGTGTTAGGGGAGTGCAGTGCCTCGCCTCATGGGCTCTGATGGGACCTGGAACCTGGTGCCCCTATGCCCCACGGGCTCCTGAAATGTGCCCCTCCTTGATCCTGCACTCCAGGGGCCCAGGATGACCTGAAGAAGGTCACCCGCATCGCTTACTCCATGGTGAAGCAGTTTGGGATGGCACCTGGCATCGGGCCTGTCTCCTTTCCCGAGGCACAAGAGGGCTTCATGGGCATCGGACGACGCCCCTTCAGCCAGGGCCTCCAGCAGATGATGGACCATGTGAGTCTGCTCAGGCCTCCCTGCCACAGCCCTGCTGAGCGAGAGGGGCCCCTGGGGCTGCTGCAGGTGTTTAGCTGTCCTGCTCAGGAGGCCCACTGTTGCCCGAGTACCCTGCTGCAGACCTGACTCAGGTTCGCCTCTCTCAAGTGCTGGTGTCACCCTGGCCCGTTGAGCATGTTTCCTTGTAAATCTGTGGAGAATGTCAAGTGCACTGAATAAAGCCAGTATACACCCCCCTGCAGCCTGTGGCCGGGCCAGGATGGTGTGCAGGTCTGTCCTGGGATGGCTTCAGCTGCTGCAGCTCATGTGGCTACTGTGGGTACAGCAGAAGACAGGTGGGACCCCTACAGCCACAGCCAGCAGGGTGTGAGTAGCTGCAGGTGGGCAGGCTTCTGGACATGGGTGTTCCTAAGACAGGTGTGAGCAGGAGACCGCTGTTTGTCACGAGAGCTGGAAGGTGTGTGCCTGTGTTACTTCCCTGCACTTAGGAGTTGGAACTGGCTGTTGGGGATGAGTCTGTAGACAGCACTCAGCTGTCCTTTCTTGTGACAGATCTGCCCCTTTCCTCCACAGGAAGCAAAACTGCTGGTGACCAAGGCCTACAGACATACCGAGAAGGTGCTGCTGGACAACCTAGACAAGCTGCAGGCGGTGAGGGCCAAGCGGGCACCTGGCACAGCCTCCCTCTCCCTGTAGCACTCAAATGTGCCCACAAACCCCAACTAGCCCAGCCTAGTCTCTATGTCATGTGTCCAGCCAGTCCCTCCCCATAGAAGAGCATCCTCTTCCCTCACGGCCACATGACTCAGCTTCAGTAGTCATTAACTTTTTTTTGGTACTAAGGGTGGAACCCAGGGGTGTCTTATCACTGAGCAACCTCCCCAAACCTTTTTTAAATTTTATTATGAGACAGGGTCTTACTAAGTTGCTTAGGGCATCACTAAATTGCCCAGGCTGTCCTTGAACTTGTGATCCTCCTGCCTCAACCTCCTGAGCTGCTGGGATTACAGGTGTGTCCCACCATGCCTGGCCTTCCCTGTTCTTGGCGACCCTGGCTATCCAAGATTTGAGATCTCCCTTGTTGGGATTGTTTGATGTCTTTTTTTTTTTTTTTTTTAGTTGTAGGTGGACACAATACCCTTATTCTATTTATTTATTTTTATATGGTGCTGAGAATTGAATGCTAGGCAAACACTGTACCACTGAGCCTGATGTCTTTTTATAGTGGGGTTGGTAGGCTCTGGGGAGAATGGTTCCAGAGGTAGAGGTACTTTTGTGATCCTGGGCCCTGATAACTGCCACCAGAATGTGGTGGTGGTGATGGCTCTTTGTGCCTCAGAGGTAGAAGGTCAGTGGACACTTGTTTCTTCACCTCTTGTTTTGTGACACTGAACTGGCTCTTCTGTCAGCTGGGAATGGTGTTGGGGGACCCAGACCCAAGCCCCTACCTCACCAAGCACTGTGGGCAGCTCATTTGCAGGCTAAACCTGCCTCTGCATGTGAATCGGTGCATGGGGTTGGTCAGCCCTGCTCTGTAGCCTTGGTCTCACTACAGGGTGGACGAGGATGGGTGCAGGTCGGGATCCCACTGACTGTAAAGCAGACCTGCCCGGTTAGGACTGTGCAGTTGCTGAAAGCAAGCAGAGACTTGGAAGGGAAGTAGAGAGTTGATGAGGCTTGCAGCTGGAGGATGGTCCCAAGGCCAGGCGGGGGGGTGGGGGGGTGGGAGGTCTCGCACATGCTGTCCTGGTGCCTCTGTGCCCTTGGAAAGAGCACCGTCCCAGCTGTCCTGCACAGAAGGGCCTCCCTGGGCAGAGGGGCTCTCTGCAACGCGTCCCTGTCTCAGATATCCTGCTCTCAAAGGCACTTGTCCTGCGATGCAGGAACTCACATAACGCTGTGTTTGTTCTTTCTAGCTGGCAAATGCCCTTCTGGAAAAGGAAGTGATAAACTATGAGGACATTGAGGCTCTCATTGGCCCACCGCCCCATGGGCCTAAGAAAATGATCCCACCACAGAGGTGGATTGATGCCCAAAGGGAGCAGCAAGCCTCTGGGGAGGAGGAGGTGGCCCAGCAGCCTACACCCCAGGGGGAAGAGCCCTCTTGGCCCAGATAGCTGCAGCTCTTCGACCGCACCTCGGTGATCCAGGGCTTCTCCCCAGCAGCCCCTCACCCCCGCCCCATTTCCTGTCGTGTGAGATTTGCACCTGTGCCTGTGGAGCCTTCCAGGCCTCTGTGGCGGGCCTGTCTGCTGGTCTCTGTCAGTGTTAGCCACCTCTTCAGAGGCAGCTGGCACTCCTGGTATTTGCACATCGCTCCCCCGTTAGGAATGCACGTGGAGGTGCCCCAGTTCCCAGGTCCAGGACTCGCACTGCACGTGTGGCTGCATGGTCCAGAGACAGCCCAGCAATCAGACTGAAGCCAGGCCTGTCCTGAGACTCCCACGGAATGCTAACAGGGTCCACCACGAAGGGCCCTCTGAGCCACTTGGCCTCTTCTCATGGCACTCACTCAGCAAGGGACAACAGCTTTGGGACTGGGCACTGGGCCCTAGAGGACTCAAACATCGCACCTGCCGCCGTGTGGACAGCTGTGAGGAGGGAACCTCTCTCTCTGGTCCAGCCTTGTGTGTGGGGAAACACCTGGGTTTTGACCCCGCTGAGGGTCGCGCTGCTTCACTGACAAGTTCTGTGGTGGGGCTGGGGGGCAGCTTGGGTTAGCGCGTGCCTAACGTGCACACTCCGGGTCCATCCCCAACACCACAAAGAAAAATAAAATCCTGCAGGTGGAGAGCCTTTGTGCTGCACTGCCCAGGTTACAGAGTCCGGTTGCAGATCATCTCTGAGGCACGTGGTGACCAGAAGACCATCTAGGGTGGAGCATGGACACCTAGCGGGGGCCTGGCTCTGGCTCCTGGAGTGGCAGGTGGGCACCTGCTGGCAGCTCCTGCCCTTGGTGCCTCAGCGCTCCCTGTGCAGTGGCACTTGGAGCTGTGAATCGTGGTCACTTCCTTTTGTCCCAGTGCTGACTCGCCCTGAGGAAGCCTGCAGGGCTGTGGGAGGTACATGGGGCAGGGGCTCTGGGCACTTTGTGAGGGACACTGCCTGGGCCCCAGGTCTCCAACTGTACTACCAGAGACTTGTACCTGGGAGGTATCTGGCTGGTGCTGCCCCAGGGCACGTCCTTGGCAGTTGTCCTCAAGTGGACATGGCACCTGCGTTGCCCATTGAATGGGCTGTGTGTGTATCCTCTGGGGAGTCATGGGCTGAGTCCAGGCCACAGCAGTTAGGGCAGCACCTCAGGGGAGTGGACCGAGGTGCAGCCTGGCCCCCAGCACTTGTCAGTGGCCATTGCTCTGATTTATAGAAGTGAGTCCTGGAGGCTGACTCTGGGCACCCTCGACGATCGCAGTGAGCCCCACTTGTACTCAGGATTCTGGGATGCGTGCCACTCTTGTGCTGCAGCTGTGTCATGCCTACACCGCTGAGGTCCCCAAGGTGCCAGCTCCAACAGCAGCATGTGGGTCCCTAGGCAGCGGGGCTGCCCTGGGCATCCCTGTGGGCACCACGAGGCCTGCAGGTGCACTGTGGCCCCCTTCCCAGGGGGACCAGAACGTGCCCTTCGAGCAGGTGTGTCTATCACTACAACCCCAGAAAGCCACTGAAGGGTAAGAAAGAAAACATGCACTTGAATCCCAAAATCATGCCCCATTTTCCATGCGTTCAGATAATGGCGGACTATAACTTCTATTTTAAGCATTTTCAGCGAGCCTCTCTGACCTGTGTGTGGCCACAGGCCTGACTGAAGCTGAGAGGCTGGTGGTGGTTCTATGACTATCTCATCTTTGACCCAGAGTTGCTTAGTTAGTGCCTTGCTTTTTGCAAAGGCTGGCTTTGAACTCATGATCCTCCTGCCTCGGCATCCTGGGCTACTGGGATTACAGGCGTGTGCCACCAGGCCTGGCCCTGTATGTGATAGTTTTATAAAGACCAAGATTGTGGGCTGGGGCTCAGCAGTAGCACACATGCCTGGCATGTGTGAGGCACTGGGTTCAAATCTCAGCACTAATATAAATAAATGAAATAAAGGTCTATCAACAACTAAAAATATTTTTAAAAATTTTTAAAAAGGAGGGGATGGGGTTGTGGCTCAGTAGTAGGGTGCTTGCCTAGCATGAGTGAGGCACTGGGTTCCATCCTTAGCACCACATACATAAAAAATAAATAAAGGCATTATGTCCACCTACTTAAAAAAATGGATTGTATATCTGGGGGCGTTCCATATGCTGAGAGACAAGGAAGCTGTTACCAACTCTTTATATATTTTTGGTACTGGGGATTGGACCCAGGGGCATTTTACCATCAAGCTACATTCCCAGTCCCTTTTTTTTTTTTTTTTTGAGAGAGGGTCTCACTAAGTTGCCTAGGCTGACCTCAAACTTGGAATCCTCCTGCCTCCACCTAAATTGTTGGGATTATTGCCACCACGCCCAATTTAGCTTGGGTTTTTCTGAAGCCCAGAGAACTCTGGAGTTACTCTCAGGACACACCAGCAGGGAAGGTGGGAGCCAGAGCAGATGCAGGTTGGTTTGGAATGAGTAGGTTATGTCTGTAATTGTGTATCAGTACAATCAATCTAGTTACAGGGGTGGACCTGAGAAATGGGTCCACAGAACTCTGTTCATGGTTCTTACTTACCTGACAAGCCCGTGAAGCTGCTGGACTATGAACTCTGCAGCTGGGAACTGACCTTCCTGGGCCAGGTTGCTCAGTGGTTATCATCACGACAGGTTTAAACTCTCCTTTGAAATCTGATTAATTGACTAAATCTTGTTCGGCAGCAGTAAGACTCAGTATTACAATGGGTCTAGTATGTGCCTACGGGTCCTGTTTTCCCCCTTTTCTTTATTTAATAAAATTGAGTAAAGGCCTTCTCTATTAGTGGTAACTGAGGTTAGACATGAAAATGAGACATTTTATTAATCACTGTAATTTTTTAGTATCTAGATCAGTTGGTTCATTTTGATATTATGTGTAAATGGACAATTTAAAAAGAACCCTCAATCTCTTACTGAGAGAAGATCTCAAAAAATCAGTCTATTTTAGAATATTGTCTTTTAATTAGGTATCTCTTAGTTGTCTTTTAGAAAATATGATTAAGTTTACTTCCCAGTGTAGGGAGTGATATATAAATATCATATAATGTTTCATGGATCATAGGTCCAATCAGAGAACTTATATAATACCAATTTCCAACAAGGTTTGCAACTTTTTTAAAAATTTAATTGAAGGGTTTGTAACTTTTATTGTTCAAAACCAATGTACGACTTTAATTTGGAGAACATTAATCCTAATAAAATATTCTCCCAAATCTCACAACTATTCAACAAACAAAAATAATATGCAAGAATCATCAGTGTCTTTGAATCAATCAAATTTAGTCTCCAAGGAGAACTGTCAAAATTGGGATCTAAGTCAGCAGTTTAATGTATTTAGTGTTTAATCAAGGATGTAAATTTATTCACCAAAATTAATCCTTGCCTTAAATAGTAAGAATCCTTAGGCAATAAAGACCTTCCTTAAAGGAAATAAACTCAACATTTTAATAGGTCTTTAACATGTCAAAATATGCACAAAATTTAGTTCACATCAACATAGTAAAATTAGGGAAATAGTCTGAAATATCCTTGAATTAATTGGTTAAAATTCTTATAGCCAGTCCAGTACATATAAATCTTTTTCAATTGTTTTAACTTCCTATATCATCTGTCTTGAATAATGATATAAATATTTTCCTATTTAGGAAAATACTGTTATCATTAAAATCTAGAATATAAAGACGTTGTTTTACCCAAAGATGATTTCTTTTTTTCTTCTTAGGACCTCCAATATGTGCTTCCTCTCTGTTGAACAAAGTATCTTCTTTTCCTTTTAGAATTTTTCCTGGTTATACTTTGGTACAACTTCTGAAAACCTTAGAATCTAAACAAATTATTGTACCTTGATAAGAAGAAATGTCTCAAAGAAAATATAGTTAAAGGGCTGGGGTTGTGGCTCAGCGGCAGAGCGCACGCCTAGCATGTGCAAGGCCCTGGGTTCGATCCTCAGCACCACATAAAAATAAATAAGATAAAGATATTGTGCCCAACTAAAAGCTAAATATTAAAAAAAAAAAAAAAAAATAAAGTTAAAGCCCTTGGATACTTCTTTGCTTCTTATAACGTTTGTACAATAATCTGAGAGATTACTTGATGATTGTATTATCTCTTGAAAGCAAATTTATAGTAAAATATATTTATCTCAAATATCTAACTAAAAGGCAGAGCATTAGGTAAATGCATGTATTAGAAATATCTAAATTATGTGTTTTCTGTTGAAGAAAAATGATTAGATAAATATATATTTAACAATTAGATATGTTAATTATTTTATGGATAAACAATTAGACATATATTAATTATTTTATGTATTAACAATTATAGGTTATCTAAATACCTAGAAAAATATATACCAGGAATAACAGCATAACTTATAATTGTATAAACTTTATGTAACCACGTGGTTCTTAAGATATTTGGATCCATTTTAATTTTCCATGAATAAGTAGTGCATTTTTTATATACATGACATCACATAATAAGATCCTTGTGTATATATTTATTTCTTGTGATTATATAGTCAGGAATGACAATAAGGATTTTTTGATTATCACAGGAACATTGCCGGCTTTTGTTCCTGAGGCAAGCAAATACATCTTCATAATCTTCAAAATTAAAAGCAAAATATAAAGAAACATATTTTGGATAATTCTCATTAATAGCATTATTTAGTAACATAACCATAGAGAAAAAAATCATCAGGTTATTTAGCTCATAAATAACTTAAATTCAGGGCTGCAATGTGGAAATCTGTGGAATTAGATTTTGCCTGAAAAAGATGTCTTTCATTAGCATTTACAGGTGGGCATTCTTAAAAATGTAGGCTCTGTGTAGTTCCCGCTAGTAGGTATGAAACAGGAAGTACAGGCTAGTGGCTGGAAGGCGGAACCAGAAGTCCTGTCTGAGTGACAGTGCAAGGACCAGTGGGAAGCCTGTGAAAATGCGGGAGGCAGGACCAAGAAGCCTGCTCCCCTCCCGCCAGCCAGGCTTCCCTCGGTTACCACGGTGATGGAAACAGCTTGGAGCTCACTGCCCATTGTCAGGGGCAGAGGCACCTTGAGCTTCTCTAGCCGGTTGCATTGCTATGATTTGTTTTTTTTCTCCACCCTGCGGGAAGTAGTTTGCCTTGTGTCTGCCACCTGCGCTTGCTGCAGCAAGTGTTTTCCCTTACAGCACGTGGCACTTTAAAAGTGAGTTTTAAGGGCAGACGCCAGTGTTACTATCAGATTTTAAGGCAATCTGCGTTTGGCACCCAGGCCAGGTCGTTTAAGGGTTAAAAGCACTGCAGGCAGTGGGTCGAGTTACAGACCCCATAAAGAGCAGCGGCTAAGTTCCAGCCATTCTGATCTGTAGGACAAGAATGTAGCAGAGGTCCAGTATAAACTGAATATTCACAAAACAACAGAATAACAAAATTCACTTCTTTACAGGTAAAGAATCCTTGTATCAAGTCTCATCATAGAATCCTTCTTCCATTTTTCTCACTCTCCAAGTGCAGACTTCTAGTACATAAACCCAAAAAATCTTTACCTAATATTTCAAAATACAAAGATTCACAAAAACAATCCAAAAAAAGTCCAGAAAAGCACTTTTCCCATGGGAGAGGAATGAACTTAACAATATATCCCATTAATCATCTTAATAATTCTTCACATTTATTTAGGGT